GGTTTTTTTTAGGGTTGAATTGACATAATTTCAAAGTAAACTCGCTTTTTCTTTTTTTTTTTTTTAAGTACATTTTTGGTTCATATATCATAGAAGTTCAGTGGTGAATTTGCCTCAGGCATAAGTGGAAAGAGTGTCATCACTGATATTTTCTCCCTGTTTCCTGGCATCATCTTCTTCTCATGGACCTCAGTCTTGGAAAGACCCAATGCAGACATAAACATGAGGAAAATGTCAGATATGAATTGACCAGTAGGGTCCTCAAGAAATGCAGAGCTACCCTCTCCTGTGGTTCCAGGAGTCACCCTGAGTATGCAGCCTGGATAACTTGCCAGTTGTGAAACCAAGCAGTGTCCAGGCCAGAATCTCACTCCCATTGCCGGAGCTAAGACCAGCCCCAGCCAAGCATGGGCTGCGAGGCGGTGAGCAGCTCTCCGAGGAAAGTGAGTGGCTTTTAGTAGAAGCAAGGTCCAGGATGCCCAGGAGGCAAAAACGTCAACTGCTCGACATACTTAGTCATGGTCACTTTAGCCACCATGCACGTAAAAATACCGTGTTCACGCTTTACTATAGCTTAAGTCTGATGATTCTCTCTGTATGAACTATGACTTTTATTTAATCCTTTCTTCTATTGTGAGACTCCTATTTAAGTTTTTGTTCAGTTTATGACCCAACATTCTTTATATTTGTCTTTTTACATAAAGCCATATTTTTTCCATTTCTCAGGCACAAGAAAGAGATTGAAGAGAGAGATAAACCACAGCCAGACCTAGACAGGAATAGCAGGGACAGATCAGAATGTTGTATTTATTTATTCATCTTTATCTTTATTTCTTGTGGCAGCGAGGGGTGGCTCGGGCTGTCTGGAGCACGCACATATAGGAATAGCAAGGAGGAGGCGGTTAGGGTCCTCCTAACGGGTGGGGGTTAGGGTCACACTTCATGAAGAGGACTGTAGCACACTGCAGAAAAGAGCTATAGACACACGACACGCAAGGTCTCACCATCTCAGTATCATAACGTTTCAGTAAAACGGTTACAAATCATAGATTTTATTTTAGTTTGTGGTAACTTGCAAGCGACACTTTGGCCTCTCCGTGTAAGTCAGCCCCTCCTCCATTCTCTTTGACTTAAGAGGCAGATTTCCCCTCTGCTTTGGGAATACCTTCAACACCTTCATCTCAGAGATCACTGATTGCAGTCCTTGGGGCGTGATTGAATGAAATCCCCACCACAGTGGAGTTGCTGAGCTCCTATGCAGGGGAAATTACCATTTTTTGGATACTCAGTCACTGTCTCCATTCCCTTTTCAAATCTTGGACCACCAATAATTTCTTCACAATAGTTTTGTTTGATGTGTGGGGACTCACTTATGTTGACTCTTAGCCCACTGTGTTAAGATTTAGTTCTAAAAGACTGAAAAGGAGTATCGAGCTGTATACGTCACTTACATGTGGAACTGATTTGGGGCTTCTTTGTTAAAGTCTCTGCTTCCGGATGGTTTCTGTGGAGCTAGTGATGTTCCCTGAATATATCAGCTCCTCCGTGGTTGGCTGGCTGTGCAGTTTGGGGACTGTTTTTCTCATCTGTGCGTTGCCGTCCTATTTGGTATTTATAGCACCTCCCAGACGGGTGCCTTCCTCAATTTAATTATTATCCAGTTTATCCTCCTTTCTGACATCATTCATGAAAATGTTAAATAAGACCGGCCACGATACCTACGTCCCCCCAGCACGCCCCTCAACACTTCTTAACTTGATGCCTTGCCATTAATCATTAAATTCCTTTAGCCAACTTAAGTCCCAGGAAGAGTGTTAATATTGAATCCAGTTTGAGCTAAATTTTAATTAAGATTTCCTGAGACATTATGTTAGGTGATTTACTATAATCAAAATTGATATCTCCTCTGCTCCTCCACCCACTAATTTTCTAATTTTACCCACATATGAAAGAGAATTGAGTTGGTCTGGCTTGAATAGTTCTCCATAAATATACATCACTCATCTGCTCTGTTTCTGCAAATAGTTTCCTTCTCCCTTGCCTTTAGGACCATGTCAGTCATCCTCCCATAAGTCCAGAATGATTTTATAAAATGCTTTTCCTTCTGGCAGCCACATCTGTCCACCCCCAAATCTCAGCTAACTGAATGCCAACCTCTCAAATTCCCTTCTTTCCTCTCAATTATTTTTGTAGCTGCTGTTTCTATGCACATTATCATTCTAAATGCAGTTGATAATGACAATAGGAACATAGTATGCATAGCATTTCCCCTTAGGCATGATGGTGTGTGTAAAGTACTTTGTTTACATTTTATTAGGGTGGGGAACATGGAATTTGGGCATTAATTAACACAGCGTTCTTAAAACTGAATGCAAGTGAAAATTAGGGGCTAGAAATTGATATAAAAATGTCACAAATTTTTTTCTATAAATTTTTTTTTTAACATTTATTTATTTTTGAGAGACAGAGCATGAGCAGGGTATGGGCAAAGAGAGAGGGAGACAGAATCCAAAGCAGGCTCCAGGCTCCAAACTGTCAGCACAGAGCCCGATGCAGGGCTCAAACCCATGAAATGTGAGATCATGACCTGAGCCAAAGTTGGACATTTAGCCGACTGAGCCACCCAGGCACCCCTCTGTAGTTTTATTTATTACAATTATATATTTTTTTCTTTATTCAACAGGAACCTTTCTTTAAGTTTAAAGTTACTTTTTTTTAAGTTTATTTATTTATTTTGAGAGACAGAATAGTGAGCATGCATAAGGAAGGGGCAGAGAGATGGGGACGGAAAATCCCAAGTAGACTCCAAGCTATCAGTGCAGAGCCTGACATGGGGCTTGATCTCATGAACCATGAGATTGTGACTTCATCAAGAAACTTTTGTTGTTTTCCCCTTATGTGTAAACTATATGAGGTCAGCTTTCTTATCTCCATCCATCAGTTTTGGAATGATGAAGACAAAAAATTCTGTGTATGTTTGTAAAATGCATAAGATTTCCCAGTAGAATCTATTTTTTCTCCATGCTCCCCATCCCCACCGGGTACATTTATATTTATCAGCAAGTCAAAGAAGCTTATTTAGCACATTAGATTATTCTTACCTTAATTTTGCTTTATTAAATGAAATTATTAACTGTTTTTACACATAATAACCCGAAACTAACTTGTATGCAGTAGTTTTAACAAATGTCTATAACCACATGTGAATTAGCCTTGCAAATGCTCGTGTGGTGTTATTTCAGGGCCTCTGAATTCAATCCCTTTTCTCAAAAAAATCTTTCTTGGGCTTGACAGTCTAATTTTTAATAAGATTTTCTACAATCGCAGATGCATTTCTGTGATTTTGCAAAAGTAATACCCTGGGCCTTTTGCAGTCTTTCATAAATCGGTGCAAATAAGATTTAAAGACCTTTCCTTAAACTAAATGTAAAGAGGGTACAAGGACAAGAGACTTTCTGAGAGACAGAAGGAAAGTCTTATGGATGTAAAAATCAAGAGCAAAGGGAAGAAAGGGAGTAATGAAGGCCAACTTCACCCACGTCATTTTCTCCAGTGTCACCGGGCAGTAATATGTGTTTATGTGTCCAGAACAGGAGGGAAGGTAGAGGAAAAAAATTAAATTTCCCATAGTGATATTAGATTTTCTGTTAGAGCTTTCCTCTTACTTCCTTTAGTAAATTAAAATAAAGATACTCTTCGAGATCCAAAACTTTTATCACTTTCATAAGAAAAAAAAATCCTTCTTGCCGTGATCGCTTCGGAATCCAAGCACTGTAGCATTGGCTCAAGACAACAAGAGTGAATGTGCCAAGAGATCTTTCTTTACCTACTTTTATTTTTAACGTTACTTTCTTTGTTTCTTTGGGGTTTTGTTTTGTTTGGGCTTTATTACAATAAACATTTTTTTAAATTTAAATTTTGGCTAGTTAACATGCAATGCAATATTGGTTTCAGCATAATTCAGTGATTCATCACTTACTTACAACATCCAGGTCTCATCCTAACAAGTGCCGTCCGTAGTACCCATTCCCCACCTAGCCCATTCGCCATCTACGTCCCTCTGTCAACCCATAGTTTTTTCTCTATCAATAAGGGTCTCTTGTGGTTTGTTTCCCTCTCATTTCTGTTTCTTCCCTTACTTCCCATATGTTCATCTGTTTTGTTTCTTAAATGCTACGTATGAATGAGATCCTATGATATTTGTCTTTCTCGATTGACTTATTTCACCAGGAATAATATACTTCATCCATAGGTCCATCCACACTGTTGCAAATGACAAGACTTCATTCTTTGTGATCACCGAGTAATACTCCATTATATATATATTACCACATCTTCTTTGTCCATTCTTCAGTCAGTGGACATTTGCACTCTTTCCACAGTTTGGCTATTGTTAATAGTGGTACTATAAACTTTGGGATACATGTGCCCCTTCAAATCAGCATTTTTGCATCCTTTGGTTAAATACCTAGTAGTACAATTGCTGGGTAATGGGGTAGTTCTATTTTTAAGTTTTTGAGGGACCTCCATACTGTTTTCCAGAGTGCCTGCCCCAGTTTGCATTCCCACCAACAGTGCAAAAGGGTTGCCCTTTCTCCACATCCTCACCAACTTCTGTTGTTTCCGGAGTTGTTAATTTTAGCCATTCCAACACGTGTGAAGTGGTATCTCATTGTGGTTTTGATTTGTATTTTCCTGATGATAAGTGATGTTGAGCATCTTTTCATGTGTCTGTTAGCCATCTGGATGTCTTCTTTGGAAAAGTGTCTGTTCACGTACTCTGCCCATTTCTTCACTGGATTTTTTGTATTTTGGATGTTGAGTTTGATAAGTTCCTTATAGATTTTGGATACTAACCCTTCATCTGATATGTTGTTTGAAATTATCTTCTCCTACCTTTTGCCTTTGAAAGCAAGCTCCTTTTGTTGGGGGAGTGGAATGACATGGTGGTGGAAAGTTAGTTGAGCCCCGACGACTGATGTTGTGATTTCCCGTTCCAGCTCACCGCGGTGGATGCAGATGAAGGGTCCAACGGGGAGATTACCTACGAAATCCTAGTTGGGGCTCAGGGAGACTTCACCATCAACCGCACCACGGGGCTCATCACCATCGCTCAGGGGGTGGCGCTGACAGTGGGGCGCACCTATGCGCTCACAGTCCAGGCTGCAGACAACGCGCCTCCTGCAGAGAGAAGGTAATTCAGAGTGCAGGCAGTTTGCCTTCCGAGTGCCCGGTTACTCACTGGTACATCAGGGAAGCACAGCAAGCATTCGGTTACTCTACAGACCTCTACATTAGACCAGAAAATGACAGGGACAGGATTCTCAGGAACTGCATGTTCTTATGTGGTTATGTTGTGGGGAAAGGACAATAAAGACAAGATTCAGCCACAAAATAAGTAACCGTGATTTCACAGATGTGAGGGAGGCAGGTGTCTGCTCTTGGGTGGAAGTGGGGACTGGGAAATAACAGAAGCATGTAGCAAATTTATTGCTGAAAGGCAAGGTTGATGACAGTACGAGGTCACAGACATAGCAGGGACATGAAATGTCTGGGGTTTGAAACCACCTCTCAACCTCGGAGTAACTGTTCAAATATATACATGTGGACATATATATACACATATATATTCTATCTGTATATATACAAATTCTGTGCATGCATATATATGCACGTATACAAGTATGTGTTCTCTATATATTCTATCTATAGGTTTATTATATAACTGATCATTTACCTGTAAAATATATCTATATGTATTCCATATATACATATACAAATATATAGATACATAGATGGTGTGAGAGAATAAAAGCAAAAGACTATTATAATGCATTTATCTAGTCCCCCACCTGAGATACCTTTTTTATTAATTCCTTGTTCATTTCCAGATTTCCAGTAAGCATTTAAAAATATATATAGATGGATGAATAGTAATTCATTCCTATACCTCCTGGGTTATTTCCCTGCTCACCACATATTCTGGGGTTCTTTCAATATGAATACTGAATAATTTCTTCAAAACTATTTTCACAGCTACATAATATTCTTCCATACGTATATAATACTGTGTTAGAAACCCACTATAGATGGAATTTTCAATTCCAGTTACTCTTTCACTGACAATGAAGAAATAAATGACACGGAACCTGTGTCACCTTGAATGTGTGCTGATACATTAGTGCAGTAAATTCTCATTTACCAAACGGGATATACAATTGTAAGTTTTAGTGATAATGCCAAATTGTATTCCATGGGGCTCATGACAATTTACAGTTCTAACTGTCAGGTCTGAGAGTGGATAAGTCTGCAGTCTCCCCAGCTATATGTCATATCCAACGTGGATTTTTGCCAATCTGATAGATAAAAATAACATCTATTTTTTTAATCCATGTCCTCATGAGTAAGTTTGAGTATGTTTCCTATGCTTACATACAAGCCCATTCTGTTACTTTTTCTGTAAAGTCTGTGTTCATCATCGTTGTCCATCTCTCTATTGATATGCCAACCCCAGGTTACAATTATTTGCTATCCTCTATTAATGACTTTATAAATTCATGCTGTACGTTTAAATCATTGTTGCATTTGGAATTTATCCCAGGGTACCATAGGAGGTGGCAATCAGCAATTATAGTTTTAGACTATTCTGCCATTTTCTTTTTTTTTTTTAATTTTTTTTTTCAACGTTTATTTATTTTTGGGACAGAGAGAGACAGAGCATGAACGGGGGAGGGGCAGAGAGAGAGGGAGACACAGAATCGGAAACAGGCTCCAGGCTCTGAGCCATCAGCCCAGAGCCCGACGCGGGGCTCGAACTCCCAGACCGCGAGATCGTGACCTGGCTGAAGTCGGACACTTAACCGACTGCGCCACCCAGGCGCCCCTTTAAATATTTTCTTTATATGAATCCTGTGCCTTTCTTTGTTGGTCTGTTTCCGTATCTTTTATTGTTATTATACGTAACAATATATAGTGATGTTATATATGTGAATTTTATTAATTTTAACCCACTTTTTTATTTAATTCTCTTATATTTTTGTAGTTTTCCAGTCAATTCTCTAGTGTTATCCAGGAATGTATTTTATAAACAGTAAAAATTGTGTGTCCTTCTTTCCATTTTTTCCCCTTTACTTTCATTTGCTAATTGTCTCAATAAAAATGCTTATCTTGTTTTTAACTCACGTGGGAACATCTCCCAGGTTCCCCATTATATTAGTGTATGTTTAAAAAAAAATTTTTAATTATGTCAAGAAAGTTTTTATTCCCATTTTATTGGCTTTTTAAAATAAGAAATACATATCCATCATCTATGAAGACAGTAATGACTGTTGTCTTCAGCTAATCGTATAATGATTGATCTTAATATAGTTCCTGAACAAGTCTGTTTTACATTCTTGGTACGAATCCCACTGATGTTTTAATCTTGAATTAAACTGCTGGATTATGTTTATTTTATTTAGTGACAGGAGTCTGTGCTTCTTTTTTTGAGAAATTTTTATGAAGATTTGATGTAGTTGTTCTGATACCTCATAAAAGAAGCAAACAAAAACCACCAAGAAATGCAAGGAAGAAATAACAAGTGTGATGGCAAGTGCAAATAAGTGCTAAACATCTCTAAAACCAGCAAATAAATCCAATTTGCTTCTGTGAGAAAAAGAAGTAAAAACTAAAAACATAATTACATGGAAAAAGCACCAGCTCACTTAGTCAAAAAAGGGAGAAAGTCCAATAATGGCTTCTAAGGAAATAATACAGCAACAGGAAACGAAAGGAATTGTAAGAGACAACTTTCCTTTAATATACGCAAAATTTGAAAACATGAATGAAATGGGTCATGTTTCCAGAAGATACGGTTTATCATTATGCATCCCAAAGAGGAAGAAATCAAAGAGATCCACCTCATAGAGGAAATAGAGGAAGTTTTCAAAGAGCCACGCCCCGAAACTGTGTCAAGGCCAGGCAGTTTGCCAAGAGGACCGTAACACGACCAGTAACAGGGAGTCATTCCGCTTTGGCCACCCCTCCCCAGAGCACCCCCCATGTCCCCACACCCACTGGGCATGTCTCTTGCCTGTCACGGTGGAGATGCGGTAGGGCGCTCCCTGCTCCTCACCGATGTCTGTGCCCTGTTCCTCCTCTCCCTCTTGTCCTCCTGTTGAGTCTCATATCTCTACTCCCCCTCCTTGCTCCAGTCACCTGTAGATGACAGGCCCCTTGACATCAGTTCCTCTTCTCTCTAACTTCATCTCCCACCATCATGTACAGACGTGCAGGGATCCTCCACAGGAATTTCATTCGCAGCTGTGTAACATTCGCTGCCACAGTACCTGCGTCAAAACTTCTCAGGGTCTCATGGCCAGGCTTGCAGCTGCTGTGTTCAAACACCCCGGAGCCATCCTCAGTGCCTTCTTTCTCTCAGACCCCAAGTACGATGTGAGCTGTACCCTAGAAACAGTTTCAGAAACCGACAATTCCCTGCTCTCCTTATCGGCATCCCGGTCCAGGCCCGCTGTTGTGCCCCAGTGTGGCCCCAGGGGTCCAAACCTCTTCTAAACTTCTGCAGTGCGCCTTGAGTCCCTCCTCTGTGCGGGGGCCGGAGTGATCCTAGCAACACGGGAAGCACACTTTCAGGCTCTCCTGGGGTCTCACATCTGACTCAAAGACAATGACAAAATCTATAAAGGCCAGTGGAGCCCAGCAGTTTCCAGCTGCCCCCAGCCACAGTACACTACGTAGGGTCACCTCTTCATAATAATGTCATGTCCTGCTCCCCCGGCTTCTCTTAGTCTACTCCAGCCCTCATGCCATCTCCCCTTGTCCCTGAGGCCGGCAGCTGCCTTCAGACCTTCAGCCTGGACTTTCCTCTCTCAGCCCGGATGGCTCTTCCTCCCATTTGTCCACAGATCATCTCCTTCTGACCCCTACCCCTTCTTTCCGAATCTTTTCCAACAAACTATTTACAACTGCAACAGCCTCTCCATGCTTCCGCGCCCTTTGTATCTACTGCACTTGTCACCATGGGACAAGCTATTGTGTGCCTTCGTTTAGGATATGACGTCTCTTGTGTGCCCAGCCTCCTCTCCACTGCAATTTTAGTTCACAAGGACAAGAATTGCTCTCATTTGGTTGTCTCTTGTGTCTGCAGAAGCCAAAACAATTCCTGGAATATATATATATATATATATATTTGTTGTTGTTGTTGTTTTCCTAAGTTCTTAAACATGTTTCTGTTTTTTTTTTAACAATGGCATGAGGAAATGAGAATGTGTAATACAAAACTCAAATAATTTAAAGAGCCCCCAAGACAAGGAGACAGATTTGAAATTATTCTGCCTTCTTTCATAGTATACACCAATTCTATCTAATTTTGTCGCTAATAGGTTTTTAAAAATTTTAAAAAGCATTTTAAATTATGACTTTCTGTTCAGTCCAGCCAACTATTTGTTACACAAATGCCATCTATTGTGTCTTGGAAATGCAAAAATAAACATGATACTGTCCTTTGCAGGAAAAAAAAAAAATTCAGTAAAGGGTGAAAAGTAGAACTAGAAATAATTAAATTCAGTTCAGCATGGTAAATCTGCGCTTGACCCAGTTTCTCTGGTTTCTAGGGCATTGAGGAGGGCACTCGTTATAATGAGGGAGTACTTAGAAGGTCTCCCAAGCAGACGAGTTTCAGAGATTGAGTAAAGGTTGACCAGGTGAAAAAAGTATGTCACATTATTTGCACAGCCTGAAAGGTCTGAAATAGCTTGGTAATTATGGGTAATTACCAGTCTAGTCAGTGTTGCCAGTGCATAAACTGTGGTTCCAGAAGGGACAGGAGAGTTAAGGGTCATTTCATGGAAAATCTAATTTGTTGTTTTCTTTTAAGAAGCTTGGACTTATTATCCAGTCTGTGGAGGGTACTTGCGGAAGGACTTTAAATTAGAAGTCGAGTGAGACAAGTTGGGTTTCTCGGAAAATCCCTCTGGTGTCCCTGTGGGAGATGGATTTGAGAAGAACAAAACTGGAAGCAGAGAAATGACAGAGAACTCCACCACTGTCCCAATCCAGAGGCAATATTTTGCTAATGGCTTGAACTGGGAATGTTTGGAAAAATGGACAGATGGAATCATCATAAAAATGTTTAAAAATCTCCTAGGATTTTGTCTAAGGTGACAGGGTAGTGGTATCAAGTTGGCGTGCATGGTT